CTGTTATCCAAAATATACAAAGGATTCTTAAAACCCAACAATAAGAAACAACGCAATTAAACAATGCACAAAAGACCTCAAGTGACATCTCACCCAAGAAGATATGCAGATGGGAGTAGGTTCCACATCACCGGTCCCTGGGGAAGTGCAGATTACAATAGCAATGAGATACCACTGCATGACTGCTAGAACCGGCAACACCCCAAGCCCTGACAACACTAAGGGCTGGGGAGGAGGTGGAGCCGTAGGAACTCTCATTCACTGCTGGCAGGAATGCTCAGTGACGTAGCGACTTTGGAAGACAGCTTGGTGGTTTCGTGCAAGACTAAATATATTCTTACTATATGATCCGGAAGTCATGCTCATTGACATTTACCCAAACGAGGTAAAAACTTGTGTCCATACAAAAACCTGCACACAGATATTGACAGCCGCTTTATTCCGAGTTGCCCAAACTTGGAAGCAACTCAGATGCTCTTCAGGAGGGGAAGGGATCAAGTGTGGCCCCCAGACAATGGAGTATTATTCAGAGCTAAAACGAGACAAGCTGTCAAGCCATGAAAAGATATAGGGGACAGAGATGCAGATTACTAAGTGAAAGAAGCCAGTCTGAAGAGGCTGCTGGACAGTGTGACCCCACCTAGGTGACGTTCTGGGAAAAGTGAAACTGTGGCGAGAGTAAAAATGGCCGCCCGGGTTGTGGGGAGGGATGAGCAGGCAGAGCACAGGGGTGTTTAGGGCAGTGAGACTGTTCTGTGTGCTGTAATCTTGGATACGTGCCACTGCACCCATAGCATGTGAAATACCAAGAGGGGATCTTAGCATCACCGTGGGCTTTGGGTGATGATGGCGTGTCACTGTGGATTCATCAGCGTAGCGGGGAGGCTGCCATGTTGGGGGGCATGGATTATATGCGAAATTCCTGCACCTTCTGCTCAATTTTGCTCGGAACTCAAAACTACTCTAAAAACTACTCTAATAAAAAGAGAGAGAGAGAGAGAGAGAGAGACCCGGCACAGCGGCTCACACCTGTAATCTTAGTGCTTCAGGAGGTTGAGGAGGGAAGATCATTTGAGGCCAGGAGTTTGAGGCCTGGGCAACATAGCAAGACCCTGTCCATAAAAAAAAAAAAAAAAAAAAAAAAATACAAAACCTTAGCTAAGTATGGTGGTGTGAGGCTGTCGTCCTAGCTCCCTGGGAGGAGTGCTTGAGACCAGGAGTTTGAGGCTGCAGTGATTTATGATTGCACCACAGCACTCCAGCCTAGGAAACCGAGGGAGGCTCTGCCTCTGTTAAAATACGTATATTTCTAGGGAACCATCAACAAAGGTTGTCACTGCAGAATGTGTCTTTGTAATATGGTAAAATGTTCCTATAGCCTGTTTATTTCCAACAAAGATATGAAATAGTTTACAGTTAAAGATACAGATAATGGTATGAATAAAAAGCATATTTAAAAAGGTAAAAGTCTATGGAAAAAAGAGACGGTTAATCCTAAATCTGGGCTAATTTGATTTCTGGTATTGAATAGTTTGACTTCTCAATTTCCTGAAACTCAAGGCAACATTTAAAATATCAGACATTAAAGTTTTTATTAAAGTTTGTTGTTGAAAAATAAAAAAAAAACAAAAACAAAGCAAACCCACTACCATTTGTAGGAGACTCAAACGTTTTCCTGATGACCATTTTTTTTTTTTTTTTTGAGACGGAGTTTCGCTCTTGTTACCCAGGCTGGAGTGCAATGGCGCGATCTCGGCTCACCGCAACCTCCGCCTCCTGGGTTCAGGCAATTCTCCTGCCTCAGCCTCCTGAGTAGCTGGGATTACAGGCACGTGCCACCATACCCAGCTAATTTTTTTGTATTTTTAGTAGAGACGGGGTTTCACCATGTTGGCCAGGATGGTCTCGATCTCTTGACCTCGTGATCCACCCGCCTCGGCCCCCCAAAGTGCTGGGATTACAGGCTTGAGCCACCGCGCCCGGCCCTGATGACCATTTTTAAATATCTGGAGAACATCCATGCAATCACAGTCTTCGATTCCAGTTTAATCGGTGGCTGGGGCGGGGCGGTGCTCCCGGCTTGCTCTCCAGCCTCCGCTGGGGGCGGGGTTGGGCGCAGGACAGAGGCCGGGCCGCGGGAAGATGCCTCTCGCTCGCCGCGCGCTCCTCGGGTGCTTCCTCCCGTCTCTGAGGCTAAGGACCCCGGGAAGATGCAGCAGCGAGAGCGCACAGCCCGCCCGGGGCGCAAAGCTCAGTTCAGCCGCACGGGGCCCCGCTGTGCCCTGGCGCCTTCCCGAGGAGCGCGCGGCCTGCGGAACGGGCTGCCTCCTCCCCGCTTCGTCTTCTGCCCCCACCTGCCCTCCGGATCCTCTGACTGCTCTACCGTTTTATCTTGGATGAGGGTTCACCTTTCCATTCTCTAAGACAGTGTTTTAACGGACGCCAGACGATAATGTGTTGATTAGGGTTTTTGTTTGTTTGTTTGTTTGTTTTGAGACGGAGTTTCGCTCTTGTTACCCAGGCTGGAGTGCAATGGCGCGATCTCGGCTCACCGCAACCTCCGCCTCCGGGGTTCAAGCAATTCTCCTGCCTCAGCCTCCTGAGTAGCTGGGATTACAGGCACGCGCCACCACGCCCAGCTAATTTTTTGTATTTTTAGTAGAGACGGGGTTTCACCATGCTGACCAGGATGGTCTCGATCTCTCGACCTCGTGATCCACCCGCCTCGGCCTCCCAAAGTGCTGGGATTACAGGCTTGAGCCACCGCGCCCGGCCGATTAGGGTTTTAAACTGCGTCCCCACTGAAAGGCTTCAGGTCCTGGTGAGAGGTCTGTAAAGGGATAATATGAGCATCCGAGCCGGGCGGGAAAATGCACCCAGGCTTCTGCCGACGTTCGGCCGCCTAAGGATGCTCCCGGGCCGCCAGGCTTTCTGTGCCGGGTGCAACCTGTGTTCACGGAGAGGAAAGAACGGTTTCAGTTTCAGTGAGTGTCATTCTAAACAAGGATTTATTCTCCATGTCTGAAAAATACGAGGGTTTTTTTCCGGATAAACAAAACAAAAAACCAAAACCTAACCTTCATCACAAAGGTGGCCCGAGTTATTTAATAGGTACAGAGTAGAAATCTGTGGTTAAATTTGCACAGCTACCGTTTTGAAATAGCAGTGGCTCTCCACGGGACACGGAAGAGATGTGCCTGTCTTCTCAGTCACCCTCCATACCGCCTCTGGTCAGCACAGTGGCTTTAGCCACGCCTGTACCTGGGATTTCACTTCGCAGGTGGGCTCCTCTGCACTGACTTAGCCAGCTTCTCTCTGCTGCTGGGAGACCCTACAGGCTCACGCCTGACCGGCGGCGGCGCTTCCGTCACCTCCAGGCATTAGTTAGCTCAGTACACCTGGCCACCGTCAGTGCATCCTGGGCTGGCGCAGGCCCCTTCTCCATAGGAGCCTGGGATTCAGGGTGGACTCCTATGCAATGTGGGGGCGCCTGTGTCCCCAGCTTCCCCCCGGAGTGCCCTGCTCACACTTCTTCTGGGCTCCTGCGTGGGCCAGCCTGGTTCAGGACCTCCCTAGGCAGCCCTTGCCTCAGAAGAATGCTGCAGGCCCCTGTTCCCTCTTCCCCTCTCCACTCGCTGTCCCAGAACTGTGCTGAGGCGCCCCACCCTTAAGGTGTGGCTGGGGCCAGCTGAGACCTGCTGTGAGTGGAAGGCACCCTGCATTTCAAACACTGGGTACACACAGAGGAATGTGAAATCTCTCAATCGTTTTCATTTTGATTACACATTGAAATGATAGTATTTTGGATATGTTGGGATAAATAAAAGGTTATTAAAACTAATTTTACGTGTTCATTTTCATGTTTTTACACGTAGCTACTAGAAACCTGAAAATTACCCATGTGGCCGGCAGATCTGGCTGTTGGCAGTGCTGCCGAGAGGGATGGCAGGAGGGAGGCAGCCCCCCAGGAGGCAGCTTCCAAAGCCCCCATTTCCAGGTCCCCTTCCAGCCCCCATGGGTGACGGGGGCCAGGTGACTCCTGCAGCAGTGTGCCACCCTGCTCGCCCGATGCTGACAGGACCAAAAGTACACACAGCAGGTGGGGCGTGCCGCCCGCTGAGGGTTCCTGCCTCGCAATGCTGCCTTTACCTCCGGCTTTCTGCTACAGACTCTGGATCCCAAGGGTCCAAAGGGAATTGCAAAGGGGAAGAATCAGTTCTTCCTTTTCTCCTCCGTGGCTGCCTGTGGCTGAGTTTACAGCTAGACTGTTCCAGACACAGCGCCAGAAAAGCCTGCTTCCTGCCCGGATGCCTGCTCGGCTGCCCTTGCCCTTGAGGTTCCCAAACACCCTCTGAATAACCAGCAATTCATGATGCAGAAACATGAGAGTACATTCCCGCATACATTTCAGGGTGGGCACTCAGCAGATGAACGCAGTTTCAGTTACTGAGTTAATGACAACAGCTGAAGACATTGAAAATTTTTATTCAACTTTGCTTTATAACAGAACCAAAAGCATCAACTTACTAATTCATTTTACCTGCTGGTTTCTGCAAGCTAGTTATGTGAACCGTATTTTACAAACAATAATATTACAACAATAATTATGGAGAAGTTAATTAGATAATAGAGCTTTTCCACAATTCAAGTAGAAACACAGAAGAAACTAGAAAATTTTAAGTCCCTTAAACCAAGACACGCTGACGCAAGCCCGGCCCACGTGGCCCCACGGCCTGTGTCTCCCGGGGCTGTGGGAAAGACTGACAGTTTGTGTGCCTCTGGGGGAATGTCTACACTACAGACAATCTTTGGGTGTTCAGTAGTTCTCTAGAGATTTTAAGTGGTAACATAACAGCCCATCTGGAGAATTTATTTCTAAATAATTTGAAAAGCAAACAAGATACCATTAGGGTTTATGCAGGGCAGCCTCCAGAGGAACATTCTCGGAGAGGTGAGTCAACAGGAGTGAGCTCTCCCCAGGGCCAGCTCCGCCCTCCCCTGCCCTGCAGACACTCTCCCAGGACTAGGCGAACCCAAGCGCTCCCTCTGGGCTAGACGGACAGTGCTCAGGCCACGCATCTCCTCAGAAAAGGGGGCGTGGATTGCCACATATTCAGAGAGCTTGGGGTGAGCTCCAGGCCCAGGGATGCGGGGAGCCTGCTTGTTGCTGCAGAGCCAGCCTCACGTTCCCCTAAACAACCTTTCTAAACTAGTGATTTCTAGACTGAGAATCAACATGCATTCACACGTTACTCTACTCCATTTTCAGCCCCTTGGATTTAAACTCAATGTGGAGAATCTGGGATAAGCACCTTCCAAATTCCTCCAGGATCATCTGCTCCGCCAGGCCCTCGGAGCAGTGCTCTTTCTCAGCCTCTTCGCCCTGAGCCAGCAGGCAGGCGCACGTGGCCTCCACCACCTCCCAGGAGATGCACGAGGACGGCCGCCTGTCAGAAACAGCAGGTAGAGTCCGCTCAGCTGCCACTGTTTCCACCTACAGCACCACTCACGTTCACAGAACGCTGCTGTCCCTGCTGTTTTAAAGAACATCATCCACTAAAATCTAACGTTGTCTTCCTCATACTGGAAACTATTAGGCCATGCCCAGTGCCCTGTATCCCAGCACCTTGGGAGGCCAAGGCAGGAGGACGGTCTAAATCTGGGAGTTTAAGACCAGCCTGGGCAACAAATCAAGACTCTTCTCAGAAAGAAAAGAAAAGAAGAAAGAAAGAAAGAAAGAAAGGATTAACTGCTTTTAGAAGAATAACACAGAAGACAAGTAAATCTGTCGGGTTTTGACATCCATCTCATGGCAGGTTCAAAATTTCCTCAAAATTGGATCCACTGACAAACCCAGAGGATCCTGGGCTGCAGGGTCAAGCACGTGGGCCCGGTGGGGGATTGCAGAAGCAGGACTCTTAGCTGAGGCAAGGCATGGGGGACAAGCTGGGCAGCTTTGCTCCGAGTCCTGTGCCACGCTGGGTGTCTCCTCTCCTCCCCACAGGGCCATGTGCAACTAGAGAAGGCTGAGTGTTCTGAGGACTCGCCCGTCGAGCCTTCAGGTAGCACAGTCAGGATGGCCTTCCCCCTCAATGCCCCCTGGAGCTGTGAAAGAGGTTCTGAGAGGCAAGTTGTACTGCAGGACCAGCCACTCTCCTCACTGAGCTCAGGGAGCAACTGTGGCTTAGCTAGATAGTGGCCCAAGTAGTGCTAAGCTGAAATAATTTCAGGAAACCTTTATAAACTATTAAAAAGTGTTGGGTTACAGGAGGCGGAGGTTGCGGTGAGCTGAGATCATGCCATTGCACTCCAGCCTGGGTAACAAGAGCGAAACTCCGTTTCAAAAAAAAAAAAAAAAGTGTTGGGTTATAAAAATAGAGAAAAATCTTGGGTTAAAGTCTCTCTATGAAGACAGTACACGATGACTTTGGTTAAAGAGGAAAAGACAGGGCTGCCCTTGGGAAAAGAAGGGCCATAACACTGTAAGACCAGGCTCCAGTGTACAGGCCTTGCCGGACTCCAGGGAACACACATCCAGCTGCAGGCCATGACATTTTCGCACATCACTTCACAGCCAGTGAGGTCAGGTTTTGGTAAACTTTTCCTGATAAAGACCTCTGTGAGTCAGCTGGGTGCACTGGCTCACACCTGTAAACTTAGCACTTTGGGAGGCAGAGATGGGTGGATCACAGTTCAGGAGTTTGAGACCAACATGGCGAGACCCCATCTCTACAACAAGTAGAAAAACCAGCCGCATGTGCCTATAGTCCCAGCTACTTGAAAGGCTGAGGTGGGACGATCACCTGAACCTGGGGAGGTCGAGGCTGTGTGAGCTGTGATCACACCATTGCATTCTAGCCTGGGTGACTGAATGAAAACCCTGATCTCAAAAGAAAAAGGCCTCTAGGCCACAGTCATGGGTATTTCTGATATCTCTCTAACCAAATAAGCACGAGTTTGGCTTCGCAAAAATGATACTAATTAATGACATATGGTACTTTATCTTCATATGACCATGACTTTGAGCTCAAAGAAGTTTTTTGAAATGAATGAATGGAATCTAATAGATAGTAAAATTATGACAAGCTTTGAGACCTCCTAGGATTACAATGCAGCTTCAAAACTGATAAACGCGAAATTACCCAACGAGGCTGGATCCACAATCACTTAGGAAGGAGAACAGTGTGGACCCAGCACAGCTCTTTGCGGCCACTTCCCGAGATAAAGGACAGGGAGGTACGCACTGTCTTTGCTGCCCGGGGTCAGCGTGGCTCTGTTAACGCAAAGGCAGCGGCAGAACTCCACTGGCCCTGCTGGTGATGCTGGCGGTGGGGCCCTTTTGTCTGGTACAAAATGAGAGTAACTCAGCGAGGACGAAAAGGGACAAAACAGGTTTTGGCAGCAGGGCCTCTAAGGAAACACGGCCACCACCCAGGATTACTCATGGAGCGGGGAACGCTTCCCTCTGCACCACTGCTGCCCACACGCCAGCCCCTGTGGGCCCACACATTTTTTCCAGTGTATACATTGTCCTTTATTTTCCTCTCAAATTAACCTCTGTTCCCTCTATTAGCAGAGGTTAATTCAAAGTACCTACCTGTCTTTACTGAATTTTGGAAGTCCTGGAAATTTAGTTGGTGACAAATGGTGGCTGCCTTCCAAACCTCCACTCTGCACATAGTTTGGCGTGCTCATTAGTGTCTTTCGTTCTGGGCTTTCTTCATAATTTTTGCAACCAATGCATTTACAAATAGAAGAACACATAATTTTGGCCTGGTAATATAAAATGTTTCAATAAAATTAGGTTGTCCCACAAGTCATCAAAAACGGACAAATTTTATTTGGACCTGAAATAATTATTTGCATATATTTGCCTATATGAGCGACAGAGTGTGTGTGTTGAGTGTGAATGTGTAGGTGAGAGTGTGTGTGTGGGGGGTGTGTGTGTTAAGTATGTGTGTGTGTATGAGTATATGTAGGCTGTGGGTATGTGTGAGCGTAAGTGTGCATATGTGTGAGTGAATGTGGGACTGTGAGTGTTTGAGTGTATTTGAGTGTGAGTGTATATGATTGTGTGGGGGGGGTGCGTGTATATGGGGTGTGTGAGTATGCATATGTGTGAGTGTGAATGTGTGCGTATGATTGTGTGTGGGGTAAGTGTGAGTATACGGGGTGTGTGAGTGTGCATGTGAGTGTGAATGTGTGTGAATGTGTGTGACTGTATGTCTGAGCTGCAGTTTCAACTGCTGTTAGGAAGGCGCAGTAGTCCTGCTGCTGACGGAGCAGAGGCCGGGCGTGTGGGTGTGAGTCCCAAGCGGAGAGAGGGTGTTGCTCTCCCCTCACCAGGGAGCCAGCAGGCTGCTTCATGTGACCCTTGTTAGAGGAAAGCCTGCTTCAGCTCATTACAAAACTAGCTCTGGTTCTCTTTCAGCATGTGAGGCTGGTAAGCCGGTTCTACAGGTGCAGAGAATGCACAGTGAGTGGAATTTGAAACTGTCCAAGAGCAGGCCTGTGGCTGGGAGCTCTCAGGGGGCCTCTCCTGCTGCCTTGGGGGTGGATTCTGTTTCAAGTCTTTCCTGGTGATATGGTGCTCAGGGGGCTGGCGTGTTCCAGCTATACCCAGCAAGCCCCGCCTTTCCCCTCATGCCAAATCCTTGTTCGTGTGGGCCCCAGGGGCTGACAGAGAACTGGCAGTGCCAATCACTATGGTTTTTGAATTTCTCTTTCCTTCAGACCCCCAGGGATTTCCCTGTGTTCTTTCCAGTGGGGAGATGCATCTTCAGGGGTTTGCATTCTGATTCATCTGCACCTCTGGGTGTTTTGAAGCAGAAGGCTTTCCAGAGTTTCTAGTCTACAGTAACGCCAGAGACTAAACAACAGTGCTGTCCCTTTCTTCTGAACCTGCACATTCTGTGGGCTGTGCCTATCATAGCCTTGGCCTTGGGAAAGTAGGCTGAGCCATCATTTTGTGGCAGCCGGTGAGGGCACTTTGCAGGACAGAGAGGAGATACTGTGAGTACGGTTGGAAGTGGTTCCACGGGGGTGGGTCACTCACGTCTGAATTGCGCATCTCTGTCTCTGTCATGTTTTGACTGTGTTTTCCAAATCCTAGCTGGGATTGTGGGGTCTGCCTTCTCAGGTCTTTCTATGCATATCACCAGAATCAGGAGGACTGTTCTCAAGCCTGACCCTCTATGACAGACAGCCTTTTAATAGTATAATTCACAGGACCCCCAAAAGACCTCAGGTAAACCAAACAGAGCTTTGTAAGAAGGGTGTGCTTGGCTGCTCCCAATAGGGCCTAAGCTCAGCTGATATTTGGGAAATTAATTCAGATTAGTATGAATGCCCTCCTAGAAACTCTGGAATAAAAAAATAATGATATTTATCTTTTTAAATTACTGTGAAGTTTTTTAACCACAAGAGTTACTCAAAATATGCAGCTGTGTTTTTTGTGAGTGGCTTAGCTCGGGAGCCGGCACGCACCTCATAGCACTCACAGTAGTTCTTCAGGCAGCCCGACCTCCTGCAGCTGCACCCTTTGCTGTGCCGGGGCTTGACATCGCCCAATTGGCTCGTCCCAATTTTGGGCTGGAAGGCTTCTGGATTTCTACCAAGACATGCCTAGGGTGGAATGGGAAGCTCCATCAGGATGGATTTTATCATTCAAAACTCAGGGTCAGTGAAGGGCATCTCATTTGGTTGTTGTGAAAGGTGCCACAGGAAGCAGTGAGTCTCTTTACACAGTTCAGAACATGCAGCCCCTTTTTGTTTTATTTTCATTAGTTTCCACACAAAAAAGGCGATATTGTAGCTATGGTTTCTTCATGTTTTATTTTCCGAGTTTCCAAGTCATATATATTTACCGCGAAAAATAATGGATGGTAAAGATGCAAAGAAAATCATTGTGTGTGTGTGGACACATTTCCATCCAGCATTTCTGGGGCTCTCTTTCCTGAGATGGTTGAGGTTGTGGACCATCCTAACCACTCACACTGCCTGAACACCACTCAACAAACCACCGGCCAGGCATCTTTCCATGGGATTCATATACATGCCCTCTCATGTAATCCTCAGCAACCTTGGGAAGTAAAATCTACTACCGTATGATTGTTTCATATATGGAGAAACCGAGGCACCGAGAGGTTAAATAACAGCTGGCAAGTGGCAGGATCCTGATTCAAAGTCCCCATGCCAACTTCAGAGTGGATCTCAACCACTGGGCCATGCCTTTCTCAGACAACACGTATAACTTGTTATCAGGGTCTGTGTGTTGTCGCTTTTTAATCTCTCTATACACACACACACACACACATAGCTTTGCGTACAAAATGATTCAATGCTCTTTGTAAAGATTCAAATAATGCAGCAACCACAGTGGAAGTTCGCAGCCTCCCTTCGCCTTCCTGGGGTTGACACTGGAATCCGTGCTGTCCAGCAGCACAGCCGGAGCACAAGGCCGTCTGTGAGCACGTGCTGCGGGACAGCCCCAGCCTGCAGTGTGCGGCTTTAGGGGTTTTCACAGATCATTGAAGTGTGACAGGCAGTGGATGCACACATCTGCAGCTGTGGTATGATGATCTTGTGCACGTGTGCACACCTGTGTACCTGTGTACACCTGTGTGCCTGCTACTAAGGTCCAGTTAGAGGACAGGCAGCCCCACGGCTACCTTGAGACTCCTCCCCAGCAGTGCACGCCATGGGGAACCACTCTTCTGACTTAGAGGGCTTTAGGTTTGCCTATGCTGGTGCTTCGGGTAAATGGAATCCCACAGCTTGCGCTCCTGCGCCTGCTGCTTCCCGCAGGTAACGTCTGCGAGGTCCATCTGCACTGCTGCGCTTCGCTGTAGCTCCTGCTTTTCATCCATGTGCGGACATATCCATTCTACCACGGATGAACATTTGGGCTGTTTCCAGTGCCTCGCTACTCTGAGTGGAACTGCTATGACATTCCTGTCCAAGTCTTCTGGTAGACATCTGCACTCATTTCTATTGGCCGTACCTTTAGGAATGAAATGGCTGGGCCATGGCATACACAAAAGTTTAGTTTTAGTAGCTGTTGTCAAACAGTTTCCCAATATGGTTGTGCCCATTTATATTCCTATCAGCAATGTCTAAGAATTCCAACACTTTTTGTTTTTACAGTTTTAATTGTAGATAGTACTCTTCACCCCTAAATAAAATGTGACTCAAGTTTAGATCCATGACAATATTCTTCTGTCCTATGGATGTGGCTATATAAAAATTGGTAAGATATTTCAAGTCACTTATCCATAATTCAAGAGGGGAATGAAATTATTTCAGAAAACAATGCAGAGAGTATCCGTGTCCTTATAATTGTGTTCTATTTGCACAGGACAGCCTCGGGTCTACGGTCGCTGGCTCTCGACTTCCCTTCATGAATGAGTGGGCACCGGGAAGTGTCTCCTTGAAGCAGGTTGACAGCCCTGAGCTTAACTGTCCCTCCCTTCTCCCTAATTATCTTTTGTGCCTATAGAAAGGGATCAAAGCTGCAAGCTCCTGTGTTTAGTCTTCAGCAGAGTGGCCATCGGGGCCATCAAAGTCACCTTTTGCATCTCTGGGAAAACGTAGATTCTTCTTCTCTTCTTCTAGAAGCCAAGAGGTCACATTTAAATTGTTAAATTTTATAATTAAAAATGTAGGATGCCTTGGCACTTTCACCCAGCCTTCTCATGCAGCGGACTGTCTACACCTTTGCAGACTACACGGCTCCAGCTCATGCTTATCTGCTATATAAGATGATCCCAAGTGTCTAAACTCCAAGACAAAGCAGATGTTCACATGTTCTTGAATCAGAACCTTCCTAGGCTGCTGCATCTCTGAAGCCTTCCCACATAATAAAGAGAAAAAGGCCTTTCTCTGCCTACCACTTTTACAACAGCCCTTTGTCATGGTTCAATACCCACACCGGCAGGAATCAAGTCGTATTCAGTGTATATTTTTCAAACCGTAGGGTTTTTCCAATGAGGAATCTCTGGAGATCATTTCATGAACATCTCAAATAGTTTGAAATGTTTTTAAAACGCATGCATTTAATGGACATCTATTACCTTAATGGCTTTAAACCGTTCAATTTCATGCTGCAAGTTGTTGCAACAGTTATTACAATTGCAGTTGTTGCAAAAGTCCCCACTGGCGAAGCAGTCACAGTACCTGTGAAGGAAAGGACAGAGTGAGTGGCAGGCACAGATGGCACAGTCAGTAGTGAAGAGAAGAGCACACACGTGTAAGAAAGGAGCAGTAATGTGCCGCAATCAGAACGCTGAACACTGGAACACTAAACACTGGAACACTAGACTTCTAGACGACTCAGTGTCCTTTTTCTACAAGAACTAGATCAGCTAGGATGATGCTCCCCAGTGACGAACACAGAAGAGAATAAAACTAGTTAAAACCATTTGCTTCATCAAAAAGGATTTTGCAAAGCAAAACAATTTCCTGCAAACCCACTGCCATCAATCAGTCCTCCCTGGCCCCCAATTGCCCTCCACCATTTTCCTAGGAGCACAGTAAGTTTGGTGCGCAGAAACATCGAGTAATGAAGAACTACTCCAATCCATCCAACATGACTGAAGGTGTGCTCACTTCTTCCCCAGACCTTGACTTTGAGTGAACACTAACGGGACCCAGAGGTGGAACCTGGCCTAGGCGGTGTCTCACTTTCATTCTGCGAGAGGAAGTGAAAGGCAGAGGAAGTGAATGGATGAGGCAGCTGCTGTCACACCTCTTGGTTATAAGGCGAGGGTTGCTCAGGAATCCTGAGTCTAGAGAAGCCCTCAGAGTGCCCTGTGACTACTGGGCTACACAGGTGGATAGCAGTGCTGTGGACTGGCTCTGAGGGTGCCCTGGGAGAGCCACTGGTGCTGGCAGCCAGTCCTCTTCCCCACACTCTTGAAAGTCACCTGCACTGTAAGGCAGAGATGTTTACACACCTGCCCTTTACCCTTCCCAGGATGGGCAGGGACGATGCTTCCTTAACTCATGTGAGAATGTAGCATCAAGGCCGGGATCCTCCTGTGCCGCCTACAACCCATGCCCAGAGAGCCTGTGAGGAGCTTGTCAGCCACTCCATGGCTTCCACCCGTGACCAGAGAAAACCCCTGTTGCTCTCTTCTGTGAGCATGGTTCCTCAAAAAGAACTTTCAACTCGTTTTCCACATCGGCTCTGCTGCCTTCTCCTCATGCACCAGTCAGCTTCGCAAGCTGTGGAATGGGAATTGTGGTGCTCGGCCTCCCAGTCCCAAAGCGCTGCTGAGGGAAACTTCCCGTGGTGCTGCAGGAACACGGTGAGGGCCGTGCGGTGGACTAAATGTCTGCAGAAACCTCTCTGGGACAGAATTCCCAAACAATTATTTTAATAAGTATTATTTTCATACTGACATGTCTGTCTGGTGAGCATTACGGAAGGAGAGAGGAGAGAAAATGGGGGAGAGGCATCTTTGGAGCGAGGATATCCACGAGTTTTCCAGAACTGATGAAAGCTGGGGATGAGGTCAGGAGTTTAAGACCAGCCTGGCCATCATTGTGAAACCCCATCTTTAAAAAAGAAAGAAAGAAAGAAATATAATGAACTCTAAGAAAGACAAACAAAAAGAAAAACCAAAGACAAAAAGAAAATCTCAAATGCACCAGAGAAGAAAGATACATAACCTAGACTCACAGTCAACTTCTTATTAGAAAAAATGGAAAACAGCAGACTATCTTCAAAGCATTGGCAGAAAAAAACTGACAACCTAGAATTTTATAGCCAGTAAAAGTGTATTAACTCACCAAAGTCCAGGCTAGGCACATTTCTTTTTTTTACTGTACAGTCTTTTATTGAGTCATTTTATTAACTCTTGCCCTTTCAATCTTTTGAAGACTTTAAAATCTGTTTTCACCACACTCACTCTCTCTCTCACACTCCAGACCCTAAAATCCTTATTTTCTTCTTTCTCAAACATCATGAAAGGGTGGACTGTCCACATGTGCTATCATTCCTTAGCTCCCATTCATTCTTTAACCTACTGCATTTGGATTTCCTCCTCCTGCCCACAAACTCTCGAAGGCAATCAACCAGCACCTTATTGGAAAGCCCAGGGCCCTCTTCACTGTTCTTGAGTGCTTTGGACCCTACTGTGTTCCAGAACCATATCCCAGCTTCTGATCAGAAATCTGTATCTTCAGTTCAGCATGTCCACCCCTCCACCCACGGCCTTCATCTGACCCCTCACGCTGCTCCAGCCACTCTCTCCTCCTATGCCTACTCTCCATCCACGCTGTTGCCATCTGCCCAGTAACACAGCCCCTGCGGCAGTTCTGATAATTACCTTGCTCTCTTTCCTCACGTCCAAGGGTTGCAAAATTTACTGATTCTGGCTCAGAAATGTCTTTTATTAATTTTATTTTTCATAAATGTAAATAATACTTATTGTAGAATTTTTAAAAATACAAAGAAGTAAAAAGAAACAAACTACATCCAAGATGAATCTTATTTCCTAGTGATGATCATTTGGTGAATATATTTCAGATTTTTCTGTAAAACTAGGCATACCGAAATAAGTATATGTTGTTTGGTTACAGATTATATGTAAACAAAAATAAGATCATACTCTACAGACTGCTTCAGTGTGCTTTTATTACTTATCCACATAAGTAATAAAGATAACCTTTTGCTTTTATTGCTCATCAGTCTGTTGCGAATGCTTTATGACTTATCAGTCATGTTGCGAAGGGGAGCCTTCCCTGACTGCCATGCTGCTCAGCACCTGTCCCCTCCCCGCAGCCCATGACTGCCTCCTGTGCCACAGTGTCTATGGTTCCACTCTGACCTTTAATTACGTGATAATTCATACAAGAATCGTCGCTTTAGACCTCGAGTGCGGGGAAGGCAGGGACCCTAACTCCCTTGCTCACTGCTGTCTTTCCTGCTCCTGAGATCATGGGCATTTGACAATATTTATGGAGTGAATGAATAAATGAGTGAAAAATGATACAATGCATACGTTGGAAATGTCTCTGGAATCTGTGTTTTCTCCTTCATTGTTACCACCCCTGCCTCCTACAATGAATGGCCTCCTAATTAGCCTCGCTTTCAACTTCCTCTGCTTTGCCATTAGCATTAATTTTCCAAAACCATAAATCAGGCAAAAAGAATCAGAGAAAAAGCAGTAATCAGAAAACACAAAATAAGGTGGTATTGTACATTCTCGGTGGGGGTGTAAAATGGTACAACCACTATGGAAAGATATGGCGGTTTCTCCGAAAGTAACTGTATGACCCAGCAATTCTACTTCCGGGTATGTACACAAAAGAAGTGAAGGCAGGGACTCAACCAGATACTTGCTACGTCAGTGTCCATTGCAGCATTAGGGTAAACAAAACGTGGTTCGTCCATACAATGGAATATTATGCAGTTGCAAGAAGAGAGGACATTCTGACACACGCTACATACACGAGCAGCACTTTAGAAACAGTATGCTAAGTAAACTAAGCCAGACACGAAGGGACAAATATTGTATGAGTCCATTTACATGTAAAGGACTTCGAATAGTCAAAAGAAAGAAAGTAAAATAGGGGTTACCAGAGATTGAGACAGAGGGTGATGGAGAGTTTAATGGGTACAGAATTTCCGTTTGGGATGATGAAAAAGTTCTGGAAAAAGACAGTGATGGTGGTTGCACAACACTGTGAATGTACTTCATGCCATTGAATTGTATACTTTAAAAGGTTTAAAACAGTAAATTTCATGTTACGCATATTTTGGCACAATTGTAAAAGACGAGGCACAGAGCAGAATGTGGAATGCTGCCATCTGAATGAGAAAGCAAAACTTAAATAAAATTTAAAACTTAAAAAAAAAATAAGGTGGTACAAATAAGTCCCTATGTGTCAATAATCAGACAAAGAATGCAAATGGATTAAAGAATTCTATGGAACATAGATTAACAGATTTGATTTTTGAAAAATTCAGTTATATTTAGCTTACAGAAGACACACCTAAAACAAAACTGCCACACAGGAAGTGCAAAAATAAAGGAATGGTATAAAGCATAACTTGCTAGTACTGTACTAGTCAGAGAAAACATGGTGCAGCAACATGACTGTCAGACAAAAAAAGAATTTAAGGCAAAATGCATCAAGATACAGAAGTATAATCATTAACAACTGATGGAAGGCCGGGCGCGGTGGCTCAAGCCTGTAATCCCAGCACTCTGGGAGGCCGAGGCGGGTGGATCACAAGGTAAAGAGATCGAGACCATCCTGGTCAACATGGTGAAACCCCGTCTCTACTAAAAATACAAAAAATTAGCTGGGCGTGGTGGCACGTGCCTGTAATCCCAGCTACTCAGGAGGCTAAGGCAGGAGAATTGCCTGAACCCAGGAGGTGGAGGTTGCAGTGAGCCGAGATCGCGCCATTGCACTCCAGCCTGGGTAACAAGAGCGAAACTCCGTCTCAAAAAACAAAACAAAACAAAAAAAAAAACACAATTGATGGAATAATTAACCAAAAAGAATTAACAATCATGAATTCGTATGACCTTCATACTATAGATTTGAAATATATAAACCAAAATAAAATTATAAGAAAAAAAGAGACAAATTCACAATCTTAAGTGAGGGATCTCAACACATTTGTATCAAAAATATAAAAATCACACAAAATTGAATAAGCAATTGGCAGATTTAAACAAGAAAATAAGCCAATGAATGGATAGATAACTGCCCCCAACAAACACAGAATATACATGTTTTTCAAATTAATATAGAATATTTTCAAAATTGATTGCATTAGGTCATAAAGGAAGTCTTCATTAATTTCAAAGAATTGATATACAGACTATATTATCTGACTACAGAGTAATTAATGAAAAAATTTAACAATTAAAATATGATTTTAAAATATATACACATACATACAGTCATATATATATAATACAAATGTAGATGCTATGAAATGTACATCTAAATAACTCATGAGGTAAAGAGAGTATTACAGTAAAAATGATGAGATATTTTAAGTGGATGACAGTGAAAGTACTGCCTATCAGTTCTTATAGGATGTAGTAAAGTAGTACATATGAGTAATTTATAGCTTTAAATACATTTCCTAAAAAAAATTTTTTTAGGTTGAAAATAATAAGGTAAGCAGTTAATACAAAAAGCTAGCAAAA